GAAGAGGAAGAAGAAGAAGAAGAAGAAGAAGAAGAAGAAGAAGAAGAAGAAGAAGAAGAAGAAGAAGAAGAAGAAGAAGAAGAGAAGCCGCTCTTGAAGAATGAGTAAGACTAGTAGAGGGTGGGGGAGTAGGTGTCCTGGGTGTGCAGGCTGAGGGAAAGGCATGAGTAAGCATGGAGGCTTGAAATAGCATGGCAGAGCCAAGCCTGGCCACCCAGGCTACGGGGACCATGTGCACCCATCCTGGGCCTGACATCATCCTGCAGGCAGCAGTTTTAAGCTAATAGGGGTTTGGTCCTTTTGAGCATGGTGTCTCTGGCTCTTAGTCGTAGGGTTGGCAGGCTGGAGGCCAGTGATAAGGCTGTTGCAAGCACCCAGAAAAGGGAAGCATGCAAGCAAGGGCATGGACAGGAGCAGAGAGAGAGAAAAACCTAGAAGGACGGGCTAAGTGGGTGGAGACCAGAGAGATGGGAGGGGCCAGACCACCTCTGAGGTTCCAGCGCAAACACTGTTTTGTTTTGTTCTTCTGACTGAAAGTCTGAGAGACTGAAAGCCTGGGAGAAGGAGGCTACCAGGGGAACAGAAGGGTAAGGCGGACTTTTTTTCTTTTCTTTCTTTCTTTTTTTTTTTTCTTTTTTTTTTTTTAAACAGCCAAATAGAGCCCTTAGGCGCCACTCGGGCTGAGAAGCCTCCTGATTGGTGAAAGCAGCTGCTCCTGCTGCTTTCAAACTCGGGCAGCGTCCTGCAGCCTCTGGAGGACCTAATTCAATTCAACAAATGCTATTGAGCACCTACTCCTAATGGGGAGAGGGAAGGGAGCGTTCCACCAATTACTGACGACTTAAATTGTATTAGCAAAGTGTTAAGTGCGTTTACACGTAATCTCATCTCCAGTCACGGCTGCCTCGAGAAACTGTCATTCACCTGCAGGGATCTGCGCGGTCAAGTGACTGGCCCAAGTGTGTAGAGAGCAGTGCCCGGATGCGAACAGGAGTTAGAAGGTTCCCTCTCTCGGTCCGCAACAAATTCAGAAGGTTGCAAATGCCTGGTGTATAGACTATTTTAAGCAAAACAGGGAGTGCATTGGCTTCCTTAACTAGAAAGCGCGCCAGTCAGCTGACTCCAGGCTTAGCTAGAGTCAGGCCCTCCTACCAAGCTGTCTGTTCTCACACTTGCTCAAAAATGAGTAAATCCTTCAGCTCCCTTAACGTTCGTCTTGGCTTATAAGGCGGCATAGCTTGACAGCTTTGGAATTCCACAGCCTGAGTTCAAATCTTGGCTCCAGCAGCCTACTTAGGTGGGTGGTGTTAAGCCCATTGCTTAACTCTTTACTCTCCTGCGTGGAGCCAGCACTTCTCTCAGACACATACAGCAGCCTTGGGGTTCATTCCTGGGGGCCCGGGGGGGCCATGTCTCACCTTGTAATTTGGGGAGAAATCTCACATTCTCACCTGACAACTGTCTCTCCTACGACTGTTCCGTGCAATACTGGGCATAGGATTCAGGGATTCATGCATGCTAGGCAGAACCTCGGTGTTCTCAGCCTTTGAGAGAAGGCTGTGGCAATCAGCTCACCTCAGAGGGCCCTCGTGGGGAGTAAAGGAGATTCTCCGCACAAGGTGTTCCTAACAGGGTCTAGCTCAAAGTCAGCACCTCAACGTGTCAACTATGATTCTTTCTATCCCTGTACTGTTTAAGATTGGGTTTTATTCTTTTCCATTATATGGCCCTTCCTCCACATAGAGGTGGACAGAGGAGCTCCCTGGCTGGAACATCCTTATAGCTTCCGGACTCTGAAGAAAACTTCTCTCTGTCCACGAATGTAGCAACTCTCCAAGCAGATTGGTCAGTTCTGGGTAGGTATGTGATTGCCCCAGCAACCCTCTCTGACATCAGAGGCTGGAGGATTCCCCCTAGCCAGCCTCATCCACGGTTGCACTCTGTGGGGGTGTGGGCAAGACTCCACAATTCCCAGCCTCCCTTGGGCCATAGAGAAGGAGGAGGCTTCCTTAGAGATGAAGTATACTGGGTGTGGTGGATGGCACAGGCCTGTAATCCCAGCTCCACAGGAGGCGGAGGCAGGGGATCCAGAATTCCAGAACAGCCTGGGATATAGAGCAAGGCTCTGTCTCAAAATGAGGTTGGGTTCAGGATTCTGTGAGGATGAACTAACACATGCTCACCACTCTGTGTTAGGGAGTGTTATAAAACATGTAACAAGAAGTAAGGGAGGCGGAGCGTCCTCTCTGGGAACATGTACATCAAACAAGAGAAGACAGGTCAGGTCACATCCGGCTAGAAGGTACAGTAGGACACATACCTAAGGCAAGGACCACTTAGAGCCTGTGAGTCAGATAACACCGAGAGAGTGTGGATGATGGAGACCTGGCTTGTGAAGTCTCCAAGGAAAAACTCTGTGGGGGCTGTTGGAGTGATATTTTGAACTAAGATTTGGTGGTTCTGGTCAGCTGGGGCTGAAAAACCAGCAAAACCAAAATTCAACAATTCTGTAAAAAGTTCCGTGCTAGGTGTCTGGGACCCATTCATGATCCTCCGAGCTCCACAGGGTCTCGGCAGCAACCATATCACAGAGCACACAGCTTGTCTTGTAGGCTCAGGCCTGCTCCAGCCACAGTACTGGCATCTCCGATATGCCTGGGTCTCCTCTATAACTGGACTTCGTCTCCACCAACAGCCTCTCCTAGGCTCTCCCCTGGGATTCCAGCCCAGTTGTGTAGTGCCAGGCCTCAGCTGCTCTCCATGACCCTCGTGCCTGCGAAACCGGCGCCCCCTGGATGACTCTTAAACTTTACCAAGTTCAGCTGCCAGCATGCGATGAAGCCCGGATCTCACCTCGGTGATGCTGGCCTCGTCTTAACCATCCCCAGCTGACCGCCTTCATCTGTCGTAGCAAAGCAAAGGTTTCACTTTGAGTTAGTGGTGACTATGTTATGGCTAGTTTAGAGAGGCTTTTGAACTTTCAAAGAGACTTCGGGTGTTTTAAAGAGATAGAACTTTTAAAGCTTGAATTTTTAAAGACAATGAGACTTTCAGAAGTTGGAATGGGGGGCTGGAGAGATGGCTCAGCAGTTTAAGCACACCTGCTGTGCTCACAGAGCATCCCAGCACCTGCAGCTGCTGGTAACTCCAGTTCCTGGGCCTCAGATGCCCTCTTCTGACCTCCAGGGACCTCTGAACACAATGTTGCGCATACACACACTCCACCACACACATACAATAAAATAAATGAATAGATCTTAAGGTTGAAATGTATTATATTGTGATGCTAGTATGAGTATGTGATCTTAAGAGTCAACACAAAAGGAAAGGCTATGGCTTACCAGAGACGTGTTTGTGTGTCAAGTCGACAAGGGGGTCAATGGTACCGGCTAGTTTTAAAGGCAACTTAACACAGGCTAGTGCCATTTGGGAAGAAAGAATCTCAGTTGAGAAAATGCTCCTATTATATTGGCCTATGGGTAAGCCCGTGGGGCATTTTCTTAATTAATGATTGATGTGAGTGGGCCCAAATCACAGTGGGCAATGCCATTCCTGGCTGGGTGGTTCTGGTGGGTGAGGCCTTAAAAAGCAATACAGTTGTGGTCTCTGTGTGGTCTCTGTGTGGTCTCTGCTTCCGTTCCTGCCTCCAGGTTCCTGCCACAAGTTCTTGGACTGACTTCTTAGACTGCAAGTGAAGAGATGAAATCCTCCCCAAGGAACTCTTGGCCGCGGTGTTTCATCACAGCAATAGAAACCTTAGCTGAGGCAGGGCGGGAAACAATGAAGCTGGGGTAATAGCACATTCAGAAGGCAGGTTGAGGTGGAAGAGTGTCTGATTAGGAGTCTGGAAAATAAGCAGCTACACATGGATATTAAATTATCAAGACTGGGAGTAGCGTGCTCACACCGCCAAGGAACCTGGTAGTCCGACACTGGGGCCACTTAGAGTTCTACAGTTAGGTGAACTGTCATCCAGAAAGGGAGAATTCAGGGTAAGCTGGTGGCCAGATGGCCAACAGCAAACACAGAAAAAAAAAAAAAAGCTCCTTAATTTTTGACCCCCAAAGTCCTCCAGAGACTTCTGTATGACTCATGTGAACTTCAATTCATCCAAGCCAAGAGAAGCTGACTTTTTAAAAGTGGGTTTAATCGATGACAAATACGCAGTTCTTCACAATATACGTTCACCCCTTCGCTCACACATGTAGCATTTGTTGGGCCAGGAATGGAATCTTCAGCTCCAGCACATTTAACACGTATGGAGTGTTGTGCTGAGTTCCAAAGACTTGATTTCTGACCCTGATGAGCTCAGGGTGTGGTGCAAACTGGGATTCTGTTTACAGTTGTTGATCACTCTAAGTTTTCCACTATGGAGAAAAAATAATTGAAAGGTTTTGTTTTGTTTTTTTGTTTCCAGTCCTGGGAATGAAATCTCAGGCCTCGTGCATGTTAGACACGCGCTCTAACCGCTAAGCTATATCCCAAGCCTGATTTATATCCCCAGCCTGAGATACTTTTTAAAGAATATTTTTGAAGGTTTCATTTATTCTAGACTTGCCTGGAACTTGCTAGATAGCAGAGAAGGACCTTGGACTCCTGACTCTCCTGCCTCCACCTCTCAGTAGTAGGATCTCAAGGGCGAGCTACTATGTCTGGTTTTATGAGGTGCTTGGGTGTGACTGTGGAACTTAGCAAGGCACCAAGGAGCCAGGTGAACTAGACGTTTTTAGGTTGATTGGTTGGCTAGTTGGTTGGTTTCCTTGAAACAGAGTCTTGTAGCATGGCTCAGGATCTGAATTCAAGACCTCACTGCTGCTTCCTCCTATGCCAAGATTCAGACACCCGCCACCGCCTCCAGCTCACCAGGCAGTGTTTAAGGAGGAATGGACCTTTTTCACAGTTTGGGGCTTTCTGCTGGGTCTGTGGTGACGCAGCACAGGATGGAGGGAACACATGGCAGACAGGTTGCTCACTTCATGAAGCCAGAAACTGAAACAAGAGGAGCGGAGGCTGAGATCCCATTTCCCCTTTGCAGGGACAGTCCCAGTGACTGACTTCCTTCTAGTAGGCCCAGCTCTCAAAGGTTTCACGCCCCCTCCCCCAAACAGTGCCACTCCTTGGAACCAAGGCCTAAACACACGCCTTTAAGACCCAAGCTATAACTGAACGTGGTGACACATGCCTGTAATCTTAGTTCCTCAGGAGACTGTAGAGAGGATCTGAAAGTTGATGTCATCCTGGACAACTTGGCAAAATTTCCACTCAAAATAAAATTAGTAGGGACTGGAGAAAGGGCTTGGCACCTAGAAGCATTGATGGTTCTTCCAGAGGATCCAAGTTCAGTTCCTAACCCTCACAGGGTGGTTTACAACCAACTGTAACCTCAGTTTCAGGGCCTCCAACATCCTCTTCTGGCCTCTTTGGATGCCAGGCATGCACGAGGTACATACACATGCTTGTAAGCAAAACATCAACACACATCTAATAAAAAATAATGAAAAGGCTTTTTAAAAACAAGCTGGGCACGATGGTGTGCGCCTTTAATCTCAGCACCTGGGAGGCTGAGGCAGGCAGATATTTGTGAGTTCAGGGCCAGCCTGGTTTACAGAGTGAATTCAAGGACAACGAAGGCTGCAGAGAGAAACCCTGTCTTGGAGGTAGGAAGGAGAAGGGTAGCTTTGAATGGCTGTAGCAATGGCTCCATGGGTAAAGTGCTTGATCTGTAAACATGTTTGGATGCCCAGCATCCTCACAAAAGGTGGGCATTGCAGTGCACATCTGCAATTGTGGTGCTAGGAGATAGAGACAGGCAGACCCTGGCAGGCAGGGGATGGGGAAAGGGCTGGTTTCCTGGCCAACCATCTAGGTGATGAGCAGCCCTGTCTCACAGAAGTAAGGTTAGATAAATGTTGGGAGCACGGAGGTCCTTGTGCCCACAGATCTCCAGGGAAACCAGGAATGTTAAGCACACAGGACTACGCTCTCTAAGAATGGATGCATAACCCACTCTTCCATCCAGAAGGCTGGGAACTGGAGGTGACTAACAGCCTGGTGATCTGTTATCTGTTGGGCCAGGCCATACCAAGCTTACAAGCAGGATGGGAGGAGGCTAGTAATCTAAATGATCCTTATACTACCTGTAGCTAGGGGTTTCCCCAAGCTCCCAAAACCAGAACCAGAGATATCTAATAGTCTAAATGACTCTGACATTATCAATATGGCCAGGGCCTTCCCCAGCTCTCACACCAGGACTTAAGGTGGCTAACAGCCCAAATGACCTCTACACTAGCTGTATGTCTGAGAACAAACCAGAACCTTTCTTATGCCCTTAAGTTTATACAGGTAACCTATCTCTAGAACGCTTCTTCATGGGAGAAATGGCATGCACCCTGATTTGAGCTTCAATGTAAATATGTGTTCTTCTGCACTGGAATGGTATTATACCAGGAAACTTTTTCCCAAGTTATACTGGGTCTAAATATGCCAGTGGTAAGCTGCCCGGCATCAGACTCCCTGAAGTTTGATTGTCAATCCAAACTGTCTCGTTTTCACCTCTTCTTGATTTGCTTCTCTGACTACCTTGACACCTGCAGAGACCCTCTCAGATAAGAGATAAGTAACTAAGGAAGATATTCTGTCTTCTTCATGTGTTTCCATGGTAAAGCACACACACACACACACACACACACACACACACACACACACACACATTCAGTCCCATGTTGAAGTCTGGTGAAGTCACTCATTAAGATGTGAAGAGATCATTAGGTCTGTGATTAGATCAACAGATTAAACCACTTGTAGATTAATAATTTGATGGTTTTATTCAGATGTGGTGAGAACATCCAGAGATGGATCCTACTTGGAGGAATAGGTCACTGGTGGCATGTGTTAGGGACTTCCTGTCCTGGGTCCTTTCCTTCCCCCATACTCCATCCCCACCTCACCCTTTCTTTCTAGGATTCTTAAACACTAGGAGCTGAGAAAACTTTGCTCTGCCAAGCCATTTCTTTTCTTTTTAAGATTTATTTATTTATTATGTATACAACATTCTGCCTCCATGTACGCCCTCATGCCAGAGGAGGGCGCCAGATCTCATTACAGATGGTTGTGAGCCACTATGTGGTTGCTGGGAATTGAACTCAAGACCTCTGGCAGAGCAGCCAGTGCTCTTAACCGCTGAGCCATCTCTCCAGCCCCATCTGCCAAGCCATTTCAACCAGTTACGTATGCCTGGCCCAACCACAGCTCAGATAGCACAACCAGCAGCCCATGGGCTGAACCCTCTGAAACCATGAGCTAAATGAGCCTTTCCTCCTTCTAAGTGGTTCATCTTAGGGGTTTATCACAGCAACAGAAAGCTGACTAATACGTAAGAGTATTGTCTCCATTAGTGTTCTGTTGCTGACCAATAGACAACTCATAAACTACGGCATGACCACAGCAACTTTTATAAAGAAGAACATTTCATTGGGGCTGGCTCACAGTTTCAGAGGTTTTGTTTCCTCATGGTAGGGAGCATGGTGGCATTCAAACAGACATGGTGCTGGAGAAGTAGCTGAGAGTTCTACATCTAGATCCACAGGTAGCTGGATTAGAGAGAGAAATTTGGGGTCTAGTAGGGGCTTTTGAGACCTCAAATCCCAGCCCTAGTAACACACTTCCTCCAACAAGGCCACACCTTCTAATTCTTTTCAAATAGTGCCACTCCCTCATTCAAGTGTATGAGTCTATGGGGGCCATTCTTATCCAAACCACCACAACTGGTATGGGGGACGTGGAGCCATTGATGTTAACTTTACCTGACAGTACAGTTCAGGAGCCTTTGGTACTGGTTTGCAGAAAGTTTGGGACAATTTAAAGAACCAGACCAGAGAAACCTTGAATGTTGTGCACCTGTGAAGCTCAGTGGATGATGCTAGTATAAACTCAGATGACCAGAATGCAGTCAAGTCCGGGCTCACGTAGTTTCAGATGCTAATGAGGACTCCATTGGTTTGGGTCTAGAGACCATTTGTGTAGCACTGTAGCAAAGAACTTCTCTACACTTAGTCTACTGAGACTCTGGGGAAGCTAAGTTTAAAGGTAACAGACTAATCTACCAAAGTAGATTTCAAGACTATGACATAGGTATTTGTGGTGGGTTGAATAAAAATGGTCCCTATAGGCCAATAGGGAGTGTCACCATTAGTAAGTGAGGCCTTGTTGAAGTAGGTGTGGACTTGTTGGACGAAGTATGTTACTAGGGGGTGGGCTTTGAGGTTTCAGAAGCTCAAATCTGGCCAATGTGTCACTGTCTCTTCCTGCTGCCTGCAGATCCAGATGCAGAGCTCTCAACTACCTCTCCAGCACCACATCTGCCTGTCTGCTGCCATGCTTCCTGCCATGATGAAAATGGACTAAACTTCTGAGCTGTAAGCCAGCCCCAATTAAATGTTTTCCTTTATAAGAGTTGCCATGGTCATGGTGTCTCTTCACAACAATAGAAACTCTAAGATAGTATTGTTGGCTATTTTTAGCCAGGCTCATTATAAGAATTGGGAGCAAAAGACCAGAATGAAAGAACTTGAAGAGACTTGCAGTTTGACCAGAAAGGGGGCATGTTAAATAATTCAGAAGAAAAAAAAATACTGTGATAAAAAGATTAGTGCCACTATGAAGAAGGACTTTGCCCTGGGCCAACAGCAAAGCTGCCTCAGGGACACTTTAGAGCCAGGAAGATCCCTTCTGTATCAGTCACCGTTCTGCTGCTCTGATGGGCACCATGACCAGAAGCAACCGAGGAAGAAAGAGTTGATTCAGGTTTACAGTTCCAGCATGCTGGAGGCCATAATAGCCATGGAGATGGCATGGCAGCTGAAGGGTGAAGCTGGCTGACTGCGGTTTTCATTCACATACAAGAAGCAAAGAGAGCAAGCAGGAAATGGGGCCAGGCAAGAAGACCTCAAAGGCCACACCTAGTGACGTACTTCCTCAGGCAAGACTGCATCTCCTAAAGATTCCAGAATCTCCCCAAACTACAGCCTGGGGATGGAGTGTTCAAATACATGATCCTATGGGGGACACTACTCATTCAAACCAGAACACCACCCTTCTCAAGCTCCAGGGCATAAAATTATACATGTAAAAGACTTTTTCTTAAGAAGAGGGTACCTCAGGGCACCCTGCTTGCACAATGCAACCTAGGAACTTGTTTCCCCAGGATCCATTTCTTCATCACGACCAGCCCTCCAGGCACTCAGGGGTCTATGCAGAGAGGAAACATTACTGCTCCGCCTGGCATCAGATCTTGGCATCACCCAAGCAGTGTTTATTTTGCAGGGCATGGAGGATGTAAGAGCTGTGGGGTCCCAGAAACTTCCACTTAGATGTCAGAGGAAAACCTGGGGATGCAGGCAGTGTGTGGCAGGATCAGATTCTCAGGTGATATCAGAGGAAAGCCTGGGGATGCAGGCAGTGTGTGGCAGGATCAGATTCTCAGGTGATGGAGAAAGTTAAGAAAGTGAAGCTCAAGATCTGGTGGAGACTTTAGGGTACCAGATTGGTCAGCAATGAGGAACATGTCCCCATTGTCCTGGTTGCTATGGGATTTAACACTTGTCCTGATGGGTTGTGGTCTTACTTTGGTCCCATCAACTCCTTTCTGTATTCCCATTTCTTCTTTTTAGAATGGGAATGTGGCATTGTGGGTGGCTCAGTGGATAAAGTGTTTGCCATGCGAGTGTGAGGGCTGGAGTTTGTAACGCAGGAGGCAGAGACATAGCACCCCTGAGGCAAGTGGGCTAGGCTAGCTGGACTAGTTAGTTAATGAGCTCTGGGTTCAGCAAGGGGCTGTGCCTCCACAGACAGAATGGAAAGTATGGAGGAAGACACTTGACATCAAGTTTGGATCTCCACAAGCACATGTATACATGTGCCTACACGTGGACATGAATTCATATACACATGCATGCACACCACACAATATGTACCTAAAAACAATGCAAAAGATGGGGCTGTTTAACCCTCTGCCAAAGCATGTTAAAAGTATGGGACCTGAGTTTTTAGTTTTTCAGGTCTCAAAGCTAAGAGTTTGCCTTGACTTTCAGAGACTTTGAAATTCAACTTTTATTGTTATTATTGCTCTTATTATCATTACATTTCTTTTCTGAGACAGGTTTTTTTTCAGGCTGTCCAGGAACTGGTTCTGTGGACCTGGCTGGGATTAAAAGTGTGTGCCACTGTTGCCTGGAGTGAAATTAGACTTTTGAGAGCAATATTGAATCTATTGGGACTTTAGGGAGGGATTGAGTGCGTTTTGCATTATGAGGTGAGCATCAGCCTTTGGAAGGTCAAGAGTGGAATGTTATGAGATGGGTATGGCCCTCAAAAGGAGTCTGAAAATGAATTAAAATAAGTCTTGTCCCTTTTAAAATTTTTGTCTTGGGTATTTGTCAGTGATGAGAGAATCTAACATAGCAACACATAAAATTCTTATCACAGAGCCTGACAAAAATAGCTACAGCTTGCCTGTTTCTCGTATCCATGAAATCCATGAGCATTTTTTCGTTTGTCTATTTGTTTGGTTTTTGGTTTGTTTTTCTTTCTTTTTTGTAGTGCTGAGGGTCTAATTCGTTTGAATGTCCTAGCGCAGCACCCAGCCACTGAGCTACACCCTGGCATCTAGGTGAAATCCACATCTGGAAAGGGCACACAACGTTCGGAGCCTGGACGTCACTAAGCAGGGCTCCTGGCCGGTGAAAGGCCACTCACCACTTACTCTCACTTCCCGTTCCCAGGCCCTGCTCCTGGTTCCTCTGTTTCCATCTGCCCTTGAGCAGTGCCTGGGCAGGTGAGGTTTTTATCACCAGTGCCCTCAGCTCTACAAATGTAGAGACCTGACAGACGAGAGCTGCTCAGACCTTCCATTACAGTGTCCCCGGCCCTTCAACTACATGTCACCCTTATTTCTAACAGAAAAATCGAATCGAATCGTACCATGCTGGGGTCCTTGTGCTTTAAAATGCCAACAGGAGGTGAGCACAGTAGGGACTCCTGGCGAACTCCAACTTCTTCCTCCTGCCCTGCTGTTTGCGATGGGAGCTGGAAAGCAATTCATCACAGTAATGATCGCTGATGCTGATACTCCGGTGACTGATGGCCACGTTACCTGGAGTATGTCTTCCCAGCTCTCTCTTCACTGAAGAGTAATTGTGGAGGGTTGGTGGAGGTGGGGGAGGCTAAAGGCTGAGGCAGGGAGAATTGCAGCTCAGCTTCTTCCCAGCCCTCAGGCAGGAGAGGCCGAAGGGACAGAAACTAATGGCCGAGATGGCTCACAGAGAAAACAGCAAATCCAACCGTGTAGAAGGGCATTTCATCTCTGCCTTCCTAATGGCCTCCAACATGCTCGCTCGAGAAAAATTCATCTCTGTAGAATCTGGAATTGTGGATCAATGCCAAGTGAGGACTGCAAAAGTAGCCGAGCAGGAAGAAGCTGTTCATGTCCACTTCATGGGCAGCCCAAAGGGAAGGACACAGAACTGCAGCATGGTAGATTAAGGAAGGCTGAAGGGAGACATCACTCCACCCAACAAAAGTAGTTCAGGTGACAATTTATTTTCTAAGGAAACACTCCGGAAAGCTGCCGTGTGTGTGTGTGTGTGTGTGTGTGTGTGTGTGTGTGTGTGTGTGTGTGTGTGTGTTGGGGGGGGTGTCCATTATGCCTATGCCTGGAGAATGGGGCTCAATCGTTTTACCTGTACAACTTTTTAGAAAGCTCAGGATGACTAGGAATGGAGGTGGTGAGTTAGGTTGTCCAGTGCTGGTGTATTCTCAGGACACCCTGATCAGTCTTGACTGGTGGCCAGAATCATAGAGGTCTTCTTACCCTACCCCACTGCCAGAGCAGGGCATAATTTATAGGGATGCCATAGGTTAAAAGTGTCTCTTCAAAATTCATGTCCAGTGAGGAGTGGCAGCAAACTGTACTCTCTTCCCCTGGGCTCTGGTAGGGGAGTTTGAAGAGGAAGGGAACCTGCCCAAGCTACGTTTCTATTGCTGTGATAAACACCATGACCCAAAGCAACTTTGGGAGCAAAGGGTTTATTTCAGCTTATAGGTCGTAGCCCTACATGGAGGGAAATCAGGGCAGGGACTCAAGGCAGGAGCCTGGAGGCAGGAACTAAAGCAGAGGTTATGGAGAGACGCTGCTGACTGGATTGTTCAATCTGCTTTCTCATCCATCCAGGACCACCTGCCCAGGGTGGCGCCACCGACAGTGGGATGGGTCCTCCCATGTTAATCAGCTATCAAGAAAACGCCCAACAGACTTGCCTCTAGGTAATATGATGGGGCATTTTCTCAATGCCCAGATAACTCTGGCTTGTGTCAAGTTCTCTCTCTCTCTCTCTCTCTCTCTCTCTCTCTCTCTCTCTCTCTCTCTCACACACACACACACACACACACACACACACACACACACACAGACACCAGTGTAACCAGGACAGGGAAGGTAGCTGAGGAAGGGAGGTAGCTGATGCCATGTTGAAAAAGAGACATTGCACAGATGACAATGGTACTCTGTCCCTCCATTCAGTCATGATGCCTGGGGCAGCTGATGAGGGAGGTAGAAAGAGTAAGCTTGACCTGAGATCTTTGGTTTCCTAGAAGAAAAGGGTCTTTACCATCACATTTTGGGAGGAATGGCTGAGGAGATAGGGAGGGAGAAGGAGAGGTCCAAACACAGGACACTAAAGTGTCGCACGGTCACAGTCATGTATCTTATGTCAAGTTCTCTGTCCCGTCTCCTGCCCCACACTCCTAAGCTTCTCAGACTGCCTGTTCCAAATGCTTGGTTTAGGAATGTGAGCATCAACTGCTTGGCTGTCATCCCCCAACCCAAAGCTGTTCAGGGTTGGTGTGAGACTTGAATTCTGACCCCTTTGTCTGGCCCAGTTCTTTCTTCCTGCAGCCCGATCGTCAGTGGAGGCTGGGAAAGCAGTGGGTGCAGGGACTACAAAATGGCGGCTCCCTTCTGCCTCCTCCTGCTCCTTGAATATGGAAACCCCAGCAGGGGTGCCCTTCCTGTCTACACTACAGCAAGGTCATGGTCCCTGTGGAAGCAATCACAGTACTAGTGTAGTGATACTGTTGTACCATATCTTCAGAAATTCCTGTATGTTCTGGCAAAGGAATTCTATGGACAAGGTACGAGAGGCCAGGGACCGGGTCTAGTTGGGTCCAGTGGTCTAGTTTCTAAGAGGACCAAGAGTTATTCAGAATTGCTAGGCCTGGGTATCGCCTGGATCTGCTCTGAGGGCTGGTGCCGTGGGCCCATTTTCCAGGGAGGGGACCTGCTGGAGGGGAGGCAGCTCCGCTAATTACTAATAAATGTCTTTTGTTCTTAATGAACAGTCTGTCTTCTGCCCCCAACTTGGTTCAGTCTCTTGCTTTCTAGGAATGGAATGGCCGAGGCCCAGTGGGGGTGGGAACACCCACTCCTTGCTCCCCTGCCAATCATATCCTTTCAAAGAACTTGGAAGCCTGAGCTCTGGTTTTCCCTGGGGGAGTTTGTGGGGACAGAGGCCCTGGAAGCTTCAGGGATGACAAAAGGAGGTGATGGAGGGGGAGATACGACATCTTGGTAAGAATGGTGAGCAAGCGTTACCAGATTCTGGCAGGAAGCATGCTCTTGAGTCTACCCTTGCTTCATTTTCATCCGAGGGCATGATTGTCCCTTCATCGCCCCTTTATTTCCCTCCTTCCCAATGGCTCAGGAAGGAGAATTCTGGAACTGGCTCACGTTTTATTCTGGGCTACTTTGAGGGGCGGAAGGTGGCAGAGAGGCAGTCACTCCCTCTCTCTGGCTCCCACTCTGCCCTCCCCCACTGTGTTTTGAGGTTGCCAAGGAAACCACACAACCGATCTATGATCTGCATCTTCTATTTTGTTATCCACCCCCCCCCAGCAAACTTTAGGATTCCAAACCAGGGGGGGGGCTGGGCCCGCCCCAGGTGGGGGGGGGGGGGGGGGGGGGTCTGACGTCCTCCCACACAGCTGAACATGCGTGTGCGCGCACACACCACACACACAGAGGCCTGCACATGCAGAGCTCATGTCATCCCCTAAATCCCCTCCCTTCAACACACATATCCAATCCCAGCCCTACCTACTGAGAGTAGAAAAAAAAAATGAAAAACAGATTGGAAAAACATCCTCTCTGCTCCCCACGCTCCCTCCTCCTCTGCTCTGAACCTGCTGGGCTGATAGGGCACAGGTACCACCCCACAGACCACCGAGGGATGAATCCCGGGGAGCTGGAACAAGCAAGCAGAAGATACAGAAGTTTCCTGTGGGCGTCACATGTGTGACCCTGAGAAGGGCACCCAGATTCACTTAGTGTCACAGCTTCTCCATGGCACGGCAAGTTCAATCATTTTCTGGGTGCCATGAGACAAGGTCAAAGATTTGAGGTTCAGCTTGCCAGTTCAGTCTTGCAGTCTCTTAGCTGAAGGGCTGAGGACAAAGGGCCACTTTCTACATATCAGCCACAAAGCCTGGTGATTGGTGTGTGTGTGTGTGTGTGTGTGTGTGTGTGCGTGTGCGTGTGCGTGTGCATGTGCTTGCACATGAGGGTGAGCATGCAAGTGGAGGCCCAAGGTGGATTTCTTGAATCATCTTCTACCACTCTTCCACCTTATTCACTGAGACAAGGTCTCTCAGCCATACCCAGAGTTCCAGGAAATAGCTGGTCTTCCTAGACAGCTTCTTCCAGGGATCCCCCATTTCTGCTCTCCAAAGCTAGAGCTACAGGTGGGCCACTATGCCAGCGTTTATGTGGGTTCTGGGAATCCTAACTTTAACCACTGAGCCATCTTTCTGGGTCCTGGTGGTTGTTTTTCCTGGGAGGCCTGAGAGTTTGATGCAGAAGCAACTGAGGAACAGTTGGAGGCGTCTGATGTGGATGAAGAGGTTTGCACAGTCAGCCTGGGGTGGATCCTATCTAGAAGGCCAAGGCCTGTTTAAAATCAAGTAGTAGGACAGGCATGGTGACACACACCTTTAATCTCAACGCTCGTAAGATAGAAGCGTAAGATAGAAGCGGGAGGATCTCTGTGAGTTCCAGGCTAACCTGGTCTACATAATGAACTCCAGGACAACCAGGGCTCCATAGAGAGACCTCATCTCAAAAAACAAAGAAACAAAAAAGTCTTAGGCATCAGCTTCAAAAGTCAGGAAAAGGGATGTTGGTGAAGGTAAGGAGATCTTCTGTCATGTGATAGGGCTTCACAATAAGGTGCCCAGGCTGGACCCATTCCTCACTACCTACATCCCACCTACAGCAGGTAATTGCTGCTCAGGTATGCAACACTCCCCACAGGCCCGGTATGTTTACCTCTACCAAGGCATTTGCTGGATTATCCCATCTTCATGTCTGTCTTCCTCATTGGACTGAGAGTTTCTTTGTGGGGTCTCCTCTATTCCCTGACCCACAGCGGGTGACTCTAATGAGAGCTCAGGAAATTTGTGAGTGAGTTCCTGAATGAACAAGTCCATGTGTCTGCATGAGTCTCCTCCCGTAGTAGAAGCTCGGTTCATAACCTGTCAAAAGCCTGGTTGAGTGGGCTGCATGGGAGCCTCACCATGGAGACTAAAAACCAAGGAGTGAAGCTATCTTAACAGTATCAGAGAGGAAGGCAGTTAGCAAATGGCCCTGATCACTAAAGGGTTGTGAGGAACATCCTCTAAAAGGCTCTGCAGAGAGGGGGCCTGCTGGGGTGTGCATCCAATAGCAACCACTTGGCTTCAGTTGCTGAAAACCCGGAATCACAACTGCATGACAGTCATTAAGCCCCATTGTGAAGGCAATTATACAAAAGCCTGCTGCAGATACCTGGACCAGGAGTGGGCTGGAACTTCCTGGAGTGCTCCACCTCCCTTTTTGGTTGGAAGCATCCAGAAAGATATAGAAGGGCAGCAAGAGCTACTTAAAATAGAAGGGAAGAAGCAGAACGGAGGTAGAGGAACACCGGGAGGAGCGTGTGGCGGCCAAGCCTAGGATGGTGACAGAGCAGAGGAGGAAGAGCAGGGCTGAAGCCAAGCAGCCAAGGGCTGGGATGGAAATACTAGTGGAGAAATCTAAGGCACAAAATAAAGCTTGCTGTCACCACGGAGGGGCAGCTGAGCAGAGGGGGAATGCTGGCTTCTGTTAATCAAACACTTATTCCACGCCTTCTGCCTGCCCCAGGCACTGTGCTAGCACACCAGGAATCTGAAAGCACATGACTATAAGACTCGCAAACCCTTGCCTTCCAAGGTCTGTAGCATAGTGACAGAGATCCATAAAAACGCACAGTTGCAGACATTGGTTTGGTAGATGTATATAATACAACAAGAACACTATACTGGGGCTTCCCCAGCCTGGAGGAAGAGCCTGTGGAGCTCAGGGTTCAAGGATGTGCTAGTTAGAGAAAGAAAGTAAAAGAGGGACATACACACACACAAAGGTATGTACTGACAACCAGAGGCCTGGGTGATGGGGAACAATGCACAGAAGCAAACAGAGACAGGAGTTGAGGAGCAGGGAACAGAGAGCCACATGTGCTCAGCCAGGGAGTCTGGGCTTCAATCCATAGGTAACGGAGAGTCATTGGTGGTTTTTCTTGGCATGTGACATGTTAGGATTTGAGTATTGGAATTATCACATTGACCACTGCATGGGGGGGGGTGTGAATTTACATGAAGGAAAATTGTAGTCAGGGAGACCAATTAGGAGTTGATTACCATTGTCAAAGTGAAGGATGTGTGTGCCATTATCTGAGATGGAGGACTCAAAAGGAGGAGTGTGGTTAGCAGGATGGGGGAAGGGTGACATGTTTATACATTATCTAAAGATGTAGGCACCTGAAACAGAGGGAGAGAGGACAGCTGGAGACCAGGCTAGGGCTCCACCAGAAAATGAACCGTGGTTTTCGTGGTTTTCGTAAATGAAAGTGGACAGGCACGCCTCAAAAGCAAGCATCCAAGGCCAAACCAGAGTCAGAGGCACCCCAGGGCAGAAGGGGCTCTGGAGAGAAGAGCTGTAAGAGGGGACTGCCGAAGGAGTGAGAAGCCAGGATGAGAAATGGGAGGCTGGAGGCCAAAGGGAGACAGCAGGGTCATCTGCAGTAGAATGGTTCAAAAAACTGAAAATTGGCCATTGAGACTGACAAAAAAAAAAAAAAGGAGCCCTGGACTGAGCTCCCGAGGTTCAGTTGAAGAGTGGAAGGAGTGAGAATATGAGCAAGGAAGTCAAGACCACCAGGGGTTCACGCACTGAGACAGAGTGCCTGAGCTAGTAGGAGCTCAGCAACTCCAACTGGACTGGGACTGAACAAGCATGGGATCAAAGTAATCTCTCTGAATGCGGTTGACAGTTGGGGCAGTCCGAGGGGCCACTGACAGTGGCACTGGGATTTGTCTCTACTGCATGTACTGGCTTTTTGAGATCCTTTTCTCTTTGGATGTATACCTTGCTCAACCTAGATGTAGTAGGGAGGGCCTTGGACTTTCCACAGGGCAGGGTGCCTAGTCCTCTCTTAGGATTGGAGGGGGGTGGGGTGGGAGGGTCTGTGGAGGGAGTGGGAGAGGAGTGGGAGGAGGGGAGAGAGTGGAAATTTGGATTGGTATTTTTTAAAAAGTAATAAAATAAAACAATTAAAAAAGAGAGATTGGCAAAAAAGGAGGTAATGGGTGATCTTTCTTTAAAAAAAAAAATAAATTTTGTGTGTTTTGGGCAAGCATTAGCTAGTGTTGTCTAGGTTGAGTGCCCAGGAATTGCTTTATTCTTTTTACAGTGTTTCTACAACTTTGAAATTCCATCAAAATAAACATACCCTGGGGCTGCAGTACAGCACTGTGGCAAACCTCACCTCACATATGGAAGACTCCCGATTCCAATCCAGCTTTGCAAATAACTGAAAGAGAAGCAAAGCGACCCTTGAGAAAGCCCTGACGCTGAACTCCTGCTGCATCAGTCTGCTGCGTGGCTGGGACACCAAAGCTGTGCTGCTGCGGTGAGGGAGGTTTTATTTTAAAATAGTATATGCCTGGTCTACGGATGCAGCTCGGTTGGCAGTGCGCTTGCGCGGCGTGCCGGAAGCCGCAGTTCAACCCCTAGTACAACATAACAGGATGCAGTAGGGCACCTCTGTAATCTCAGCACTGGGGAAGTGGAGGCAAGGAGACAAAGTCAAGGTCCCCCTCAGCTACACGGGCGTTCAAGGTCAGCCTGGGACCTTGAGACCCTCTTTCCAAAATTACAATACCAACTTGTTGTTAAAATTCACCTGTGCATAGTCTTAGTCACTGTTCTATTGCTGGGAAGAGACACCACAACCAAGGCAACTCTTGATAAGGAAAACATTTA